AGCTCTGAGAAGGCCCACGACACAATCTCTCCATTTTCCATCTGCTCCTTCCCTTTTCTTTCTTTCCCTTCTTTTTCTCCTTCCTTCCTTCCTTCCTTCCTTCCTTCCTTCCTTCCTTCCTTCCTTCCTTCTTACTTTCTCCTTTCTCCAGCTCTGAGAAGGCCCACGACACAATCTCTCCATTTTTCATCTGCTCCTTCCCTTTTCTTTCTTTCCCTTCTTTTTCTCCTTCCTTTCTTCCTTCCTTCCTTCCTTCCTTCCTTCCTTCCTTCCTTCCTTCCTTCCTTCCTTCTTACTTTCTCCTTTCTCCAGCTCTGAGAAGGCCCACGACACAATCTCTCCATTTTCCATCTGCTCCTTCCCTTTTCTTTCTTTCCCTTCTTTTTCTCCTTCCTTTCTTCCTTCCTTCCTTCCTTCCTTCCTTCCTTCCTTCCTTCCTTCCTTCCTTCTTACTTTCTCCTTTCTCCAGCTCTGAGAAGGCCCACGACACAATCTCTCCATTTTCCATCTGCTCCTTCCCTTTTCTTTCTTTCCCTTCTTTTTCTCCTTCCTTTCTTCCTTCCTTCCTTCCTTCCTTCCTTCCTTCCTTCCTTCCTTCTTACTTTCTCCTTTCTCCAGCTCTGAGAAGGCCCACTAACACAATCTCTCCATTTTCCATCTGCTCCTTCCCTTTTCTTTCTTTCCCTTCTTTTTCTCCTTCCTTTCTTCCTTCCTTCCTTCCTTCCTTCCTTCCTTCCTTCCTTCCTTCTTACTTTCTCCTTTCTCCAGCTCTGAGAAGGCCCACTAACACAATCTCTCCATTTTCCATCTGCTCCTTCCATTACTTCTCCTTTCCTTTCTTTCCCTTCATACACACACATGTATATACACATATATATACACACATACAGACATATATACACAGAAACACACATATATTAACACATATATACACACACATCCACACGCACATGAGAGATGTATACACACACATATATACACACATAGACACACAATATATATACACATGCAGATATATACACACACATAAATATACATACACACACACATATATAGACACACATACATGCACATACACATATACATACACACAGACTCACATATATATGTACAAACACACACACGCAGATATATACACATATATACATGCACATATATATCTTCACACATATGTACACACACATATACATGCACATACACATATACATACATACGCACAGACTCACACATATATATACAAACTCACACACATATATATACACACATATACACACATATACATACATACACACACATATATATATACAAACACACACACACATATACACACATACGTACACACACAAACACACATATATATACACACATATACATGCACATACACATATATACATACATACACACAGACTCACATATATATATGTACAAACACACACACATATACATGCACATACAAATATACATACATACACACAGACTCACATTTATATATATACAAACACACACACACAGATATATATACATATCTACATGCACACATGCATATATACATACACATATACATGCATGCACATACACAGATATATACTTACAAACACACACACATATATACACACACATGTACACAGGTAAATGTATATGCACATGCACATATACATGTGTGTATTATGTGTGTATGTGTGTGTGTGTATGTTTATATATGACCCATACAATGAGCCACCTGTGGGGATCCCAGGGCAATGGCAACCCCGTCCTTGCTCTCAGGTTCTTGCAAGGTCTCCACATCGATTAGGAGAGTTGGCTTTCCACCATGTGTTGCCTTCCCTCGCTCCCAGGGGCGGCTCAACCATTACGCAAAGTAAGCCATCGCGGTAGAGTTGATGTTGCCCAGGGGCGCTCTTGGGGGAAAATAGACTTTTGACATATGTGAGTTGTAGTTACTGGGATGCATAGTTCATCTACAATCAAAGAGCATGCTGAACTCCACCAATGATGGAATTGGTTTGCATCCCCAGGGGCGGCGAAGCCATTACGCAAAGTAAGCCATCGCGGTAGAGTTGATTTCGCCAGGGGCGCTCTTGAGGCGCTCTTGGGGGAAAATAGACCTTGACATATGCGAGTTGTAGTTACTGGGATGCATAGTTCATCTACAATCAAAGAGCATGCTGAACTCCACCAATGATGGAATTGGTTTGCATCCCCAGGGGCGGCGAAGCCATTACGCAAAGTAAGCCATCGCGGTAGAGTTGATTTCGCCAGGGGCGCTCTTGAGGCGCTCTTGGGGGAAAATAGACCTTGACATATGCGAGTTGTAGTTACTGGGATGCATAGTTCATCTACAATCAAAGAGCATGCTGAACTCCACCAATGATGGAATTGGTTTGCATCCCCAGGGGCGGCGAAGCCATTACGCAAAGTAAGCCATCGCGGTAGAGTTGATTTCGCCAGGGGCGCTCTTGAGATGCTCTTGGGGGAAAATAGACCTTGACATATGTGAGTTGTAGTTACTGAGATGTATAGTTCACCTACAATCAAAGAGCATTCTGAACTCCACCAATGATGGAATTGAACCAAATATGGCACACAGAACTCCCACGATGAACAGAAAAAATATATATCAGTGATTGGTTGGGGGGCGGGGTGGCCGGCAAAATACTGTTTGCTTACCATTGAAAATTACCTAGGGCCGCCTCTGCTCGCTCCAAGCTTGGCACGGATCCTTCTGGGCACGCAAAGTCAATGGAAGGAACATTTGTGGCTCCTTCCACCGCAGGTGAGCTCTGTGGGCGCCAAGACACGTTGACAGAGGTGGCCCTAGGTAATTTTCAACGGTAAGCAAACAGTATTTTGGTGCCCCCCCCCCAACCAATCACTGATCTATATTTTCTGTTCACCGTGCGAGTTCTGTGTGCCATATTTGGTACAATTCCATCATTGGTGGAGTTCAGAATGCTCTGTGATTGTAGGTGAACTATACATCCCAGTAACTACAACTCGCATATGTCAAGCTCTATGTTCCCCCAAGAGCACCCCTGGTGAAATCAACTCTACTGCGATGGCTTACTTTGCGTAATGGGTTCGCCGCCCCTGGGGATGTAAGCCAATTCCATCATTGGTGGAGTTCAGAATGCTCTTTGATGGTAGGTGAACTATACATCCCAGTAACTACAACTTGCATATGTCAAGGTCTGTTTTCTCCCAAGAGCGCCCCTGGCAACATCAACTCTACCGCAATGGCTTACTTTGCGTAATGGCTTTGCCGCCCCTGGGGATGCAAGCCAATTCCATCATTGGTGGAGTTCAGAATGCTCTTTGATTGGAGGTGAACTATACATCCCAGTAACTACAACTCGCATATGTCAAGGTCTATTTTCCCCCAAGAGTGCCTCAAGAGTGCCCCTGGGCAACATCAACTCTACCGCAATGGCTTACTTTGCGTATGGGTTGAGCCACCCCTGGGTCCACGCTCTGGTTACATCCCGTATAGACTACTGCAACACTCTCTACGTGGGGTTGCCTCTGAAGACTGCCCAGAAGCTACAACTAGTCCAACGAGCGGCAGCCAGACTACTAACAGGAGCGGGGTACAGGGAGCATACTACTCCTCTCCTGCATCAATTAGTTCAACGAGCGGCAGCCAGACTACTAACAGGAGCGGGGTACAGAGAGCATACTACTCCTCTCCTGCGTCTAATTAGTCCAATGACCAGCAGCCAGACTACTAACAGGAGCGGGGTACAGGGAGCATACTACTCCTCTCCTGCGTCTAATTAGTCCAACGACCGGCAGCCAGACTACTAACAGGAGCGGGGTACAGGGAGCATGCTACTCCTCTCCTGCGTCCAATTAGTCCAACGAGCGGCAGCCAGACTACTAACAGGAACAGGGTACAGGGAGCATACTACTCCTCTTCTGCGTCCAATTAGTCCAAAGAGCGGCAGCCAGACTACTAACAGGAGCGGGGTACAGGGAGCATACTACTCCTCTCCTGCATCCAATTAGTTCAACGAGCGGCAGCCAGACTACTAACAGGAGCGGGGTACAGAGAGCATACTACTCCTCTCCTGCGTCTAATTAGTCCAACGACCGGCAGCCAGACTACTAACAGGAGCGGGGTACAGGGAGCATGCTACTCCTCTCCTGCGTCCAATTAGTCCAACGAGCGGCAGCCAGACTACTAACAGGAACGGGGTACAGGGAGCATACTACTCCTCTTCTGCGTCCAATTAGTCCAAAGAGCGGCAGTCAGACTACTAACAGGAGCAGGGTACAGGGAGCATGCTACTCCTCTCCTGCGTCCAATTAGTCCAACGAGCGGCAGCCAGACTACTAACAGGAGCGGGGTACAGGGAGCATGCTACTCCTCTCCTGTGTCCAATTAGTCCAACGAGCAGCAGCCAGACTACTAACAGGAGCGGGGTACAGAGGAGCATACTACTCCTCTCCTGCGTCCAATTAGTCCAACGAGCGGCAGCCAGACTACTAACAGGAGCGGGGTACAGGGAGCATGCTACTCCTCTCCTGCGTCCAATTAGTCCAACGAGCGGCAGCCAGACTACTAACAGGAGCGGGGTACAGGGAGCATACTACTCCTCTCTGTGTCCAATTAGTCCAACGAGCGGCAGCCAGACTACTAACAGGAACAAGGTACAGGGAGCATACTACTCCTCTCCTGCGTCCAATTAGTCCAACGAGCAGCAACCAGACTATACTATACATCCCAGTAACTACAACTCGCATATGTCAAGGTCTATTTTCCCCCAAGAGCACCCCTGGGCAACATCAAGTCTACCGCAATGGCTTACTTTGCGTATGGGTTGAGCCGCCCCTGAACGTTGAGTAGGTGTTTGGAGCAGCCAGGTCTTTCCAGGTGAGAAACGGAGCACCTGGTGAGACCTTGGACCTTGAGAGAGATATCTCAGCACCTTCCCCCTGGCCGTATCTGGCCCCCGTGATCTGCTCTCCTCGGATATAAGGGCTCCACTCACAACCCGACTTTTCCATCGTAACCACCACTTCCAGCCATGATCGCCATCCTCTTAACCGTCCTGGCGCTGGCCTCTGCGGGTAAATAATGGGGGGCACCACGTTTCTCGGTAGACGGCCCACGTTGGGCATCTTCAAAGGCTAATACTAATAACTGAGTTCTTTTGATGGATTTCTGAAGGACTTTGGTTCAAGAGAGGTGCCAGGTCCCCATATTAATAGTGCTAGTAGTAATACTACTAGCAACAATAGTGATAGCAATAGTAGTGCTAGTAGTAATAGTAACAGCTGTAATAGCAATTGTGGTAGTGGTAATAGCAGTAATAGTGGAAGTAGTAATAGTAATAGTACAGAAGTAGTGGTAGCAGCAATAGTGCTCATAGTAGTAATAACAGTAGTGGTAATACATAGTGGTAATAGTAACAGCTGTAATAGCAATTGTGATAGTGTTAATAGCAGTAATAGTGGAAGTAGTAATAGTGATAGTACAGAAGTAGTGGTAGCAGTAATAGTGCTCATAGTAGTAATAACTGTAGCGGTAATACATAGTGATGTAATAAAAGTGGTAATAGTAACAGCTGTAATAGCAATTGTGATAGTGGTAATAGCAGTAATAGTGGAAGTAGTAATAGTAATAGTACAGAAGTAGTGGTAGCAGTAATAGTGATCATAGTAGTAATGACAGTAGCGGTAATACATAGTGATTTAATAATAATGGTAATAGTAACAGCTGTAATAGCAATTGTGATAGTGGTAATAGCAGTAATAGTGGAAGTAGTAATAGTAATAGTACAGAGATAGTGGTAGCAGTAATAGTGCTCATAGTAGTAATAACATTAGTGGTAATACTAATGATATTCGTAATAGCAATAGTGATGTAATGATAGTGGTAATCATGGTAGTAATAGGAGTGATATTAATGGTGGTAATGGCAATAAAGGCAATAGTAGCAATAGTGGTAATGGTTATGTTATTACTATATCAATGGTACCAAGGAGGAGATGCAGAAAAAGGAGACCTCGAATTCGGCCTAATTCGGACCACTTATCAACATTAATAATCCCAAATCGGTCTCCTAAGGTAAATTGGTGTAACCAGGTGAGCGGGCCCTCTGGATTGAAGGTGGTGCTGCTGAACGCCAGATCTGTCAACGGAAAAATGACCTTTATCCAGGATTTAATCCTGGATGAGCGGGCAGATCTGGCGTGCATCACGGAGACCTGGCTGGATGAAGCTGGGGGCGTGAATCTTACCCAGCTTTGTCCTCCAGGTTTCTCCGTACAGCACCAACCGAGATCCGGAGGACGGGGAGGCGGGGTTGCAGTGGTCTATAGAGATTCCATCCATCTGACCAGGAGCCCCATCCCGCAGACCACAAATTTTGAATGTGTCCACCTGAGGGTGGGTGACCGGGACAGAATAGGGATTCTGCTAGTGTACCGTCCACCTCGCTGCACTACAGTCTCCCTACCTGAGCTAGCGGGGGTGGTCTCGAGCCTGGCATTGGAGTCTCAACGGCTTTTGGTGCTGGGAGACTTCAATGTCCATGCCGAGGCAACCCTCACAGGAGCGGCTCAGGACTTCATGTCCGCCATGGCAACCATGGGGCTGTCCCAACAAATATCTGGCCCCACCCATTGTGCTGGACACACATTGGACTTGGTTTTCTGCCAGGGATGGGAGCAGGTTGGCGGTGTGGAGGAGTTGTCTATCTCTCCGTTGCCATGGACCGACCACTTCCTGATCAGATTTAGACTCACTGCACCCCCTAACCTCCGCAAAGGTGGAGGACCCATTAAGATGGTCCGCCCAGGAGGCTTATGGATCCGAATGGATTCCTGACGGCTCTTGGGGATTTTCCCGCCTCCTCGGTAGGTGACCATGTCGAGGCCTTGGTCGCTCTCTGGAATGGGGAGATGGCCAGGGCAATTGACATGATCGCTCCGGAACGTCCCCTCTCAAGTAGCCGAGCTAAACCAGCCCCTTGGTTTACTGAGGAGCTGGCAGTGATGAAGCGAAGGAAGAGGGGACTAGAGAGCGTGTGGCGTTCGGACCCAAGCGAGTCAAATCGAGCACGGTTTGTGTCCTTTTTAAGGGCATATGCCGCGGCAATAAAAGCCGCAAAGAAAACTTTCTTTGCGGCCACTATTGCGTCTGCAAAAAACCGTCCGGCGGAGTTGTTTCGGATTGTCAGAGGTCTTTTAACTCCCGCCACCTCAGGCGGGAGCCCTGACAATTCGGTCACGCGCTGTGAAGCATTTGCTCGGTTCTTCGCAGACAAAGTCGCTTTGATCCGTTCTGAGCTGGACACCATGTTAAATGCAGTCTCTGTGGATGTGACACGAGCACCTGCTTGTCCTATTTTGATGGATTCTTTTCAGTTTGTGAAACCCGAGGATGTGGACAAGATACTTGGAGGAATGAGGCCTACCACGTCCATCCTAGACCCCTGCCCATCCTGGCTTCTGAAGGAGGCCAGAGGGGGATTGGCTGAGTTGGTAATGGTGGTGGTTAATGCCTCCCTTCGGGAAGGCAAGATTCCAGCGTGCTTAAAACAAGCAATTATAAAACCAGCTGTTGAAGAAACCATCATTGGACCCCACTAAATTGGACAACTTTCGGCCTGTTTCCAATCTCCCCTTTTTGGGCAAAGTCATGGAAAGCGTGGTGGCCTCACAACTCCAGGTATTCTTGAGAGACACGGATATTCTGGATCCGTCACAGTCTGGTTTCAGACCGGGACATGGTACCGAGACGGTCTTGGTCGCCTTAGTGGATGATCTGCGCCGGGAGCTAGACAGGGGGAGTGTGTCCCTGTTGGTGCTTCTGGACCTCTCAGCGGCCTTCGATACCGTCGACCACGGTATCCTTCTGGGGCGCCTTGCGGAAATGGGTCTTGGGGGCACTGCTTTGCAGTGGCTCCAGTCATTTCTGGAGGGTCGTACCCAGAAGGTGTTATTGGGGGACTCCTGTTCAACACCACAGCCTTTGACCTGTGGGGTTCCACAGGGTTCTATAATGTCCCCCATGCTGTTTAATATCTACATGAAGCCGCTGGGTGAGATCATCCGGAGTTTCGGGGTGCGGTGTCATCTGTACGCAGATGATGTCCAACTCTGTCACTCCTTTCCACCTGCTACTAAGGAGGCTGTCGAGGTCCTGAACCGGTGCCTGGCCGCTGTAATGGTCTGGATGAGGGCGAACAAACTGAAGTTAAATCCAGACAAGACAGAGGTACTCCTGGTCAGTCGCAAGGCCGAACAGGGTATAGGGTTACAGCCTGTGCTGGACGGGGTCGCACTCCCCTTGAAGGCGCAGGTTCGCAGCTTGGGTGTGACCCTGGATTCATCATTGAGCCTGGATCCCCAGGTTTCAGCGGTGACCAGGGGAGCATTTGCACAGCTTAGGCTCGTGCGCCAGCTGCGCCCGTACCTTGGGAAGTCTGACTTGGCCACGGTGGTACACGCTCTGGTCACATCCCGCCTCGACTACTGCAACGCTCTCTACGTGGGGCTGCCCTTGAAGACGGCCCGGAAGCTTCAGCTAGTTCAGCGCGCGGCAGCCATGTTACTAACGGGAGCGGGACGCAGGGAGCATACAACGCCCTTGTTGTCCCAACTCCACTGGCTGCCGATTTGCTACCGGGCCCAATTTAAGGTGCTGGTGTTATCCTACAAAGCCCTAAACGGTTCCGGCCCAAAATACCTTTCGGACCGCATCTCGGCCTATGAGCCCACGAGGGCCTTGAGATCGTCTGGGGAGGCCCTTCTCTCGATCCCGCCTGCCTCACAGGCACGTCTGGCGGGGACGAGAGAGAGGGCCTTCTCAGTGGTGGCCCCCCGGCTGTGGAACACCCTCCCTGTTGACATCAGACAGGCGCCCTCTCTTATGGCTTTCCGGAAGAGCCTAAAGACCTGGCTCTTCGAGAGGGCATTTAACTAGTGCCAGACTAACTGATAATGACAATCGGAATGGAATATGGATTATGAGACTGGTAGGCTCCTATGTTGTGACGGTGCGGATTAGTTAGTATAATTTAGATTAATTGTGTAATTATGGCTTGTTGATGTACTGTGTGTTTTTTGTAAAATGTTTTTATATGTTGTACACCGCCGCGAGTCGCCCTAGGGCTGAGAGCGGCGGTCAACAAATGCATCAAATAAATAAATACCACTATTACCGTTATTATTACTACTGCTGTTATTGCTACCATTACCATTATTATCACTATCACTATTACCACTATTACTACTAATCATAGTAATAGTAGTAACAACAGTAGTGATAAAGTAATAATAGTAATAGTAACAATAGTAGTAATAGTGGTAATGGCGATAGCGATAGCAGTAGTAATGGTAGCAATAATAGCAGTGGTAATAGTAGTAATAGTAATAATAGCAGTAATTATGGTACCATTAATCGTAGTAATAGTAGTAACAAAAGTAATAATAGTAATTTATTTATTATTTATTTATTTACAGTATTTATATATTGCCTTTCTCACCCCTGGGTGGACTCAAAGTGGTTTAATGGTAGTAATAATGGTATTAATAGTGATAACAGCAGTGATAATGATAACAATAGTAACAGCAATAATAGTGATAATAGTAGTAATCTATTACTACTATTACTATCAGTAGTAATCTATGTAGTAATAATGATATCTAGTAGTAATAATGATAACAATAGTAACAGCAATAATAGTGATAATAGTAGTAATCTATTACTACTATTACTATCAGTAGTAATCTATGTAGTTATAATGATATCTAGTAGTAATAATGATAACAATAGTAACAGCAATAATAGTGATAATAGTAGTAATCTATTACTACTATTACTATCAGTAGTAATCTATGTAGTAATAATGATATCTAGTAGTAATAATGATAACAATAGTAATAGCAATAAGAGTGATAGTAGTAATCTATTATTATTACTACTATTACTACTATTACTATCAGTAGTAATCTATGTAGTAATAATGATACCTAGTAGTAATAATTATAACAATAGTAACAGCAATAATAGTGATAATAGTAGCAATCTATTACTACTATTACTATCAGTAGTAATCTATGTAGAAATAATGATATCTAGTAGTAATAATCATAACAATAGTAACAGCAATAATAGTGATAATAGTAGTAATCTATTACTACTATTACTACCAGTAGTAATGTATTACTACTAATAGTAGTAATCTAGTAGTAATAGTTATAATAATTGTAATCTATTACTACTATTACTACTATTACTACTAGTAGTAATCTATTACTACTAATAGTAGTAATCTTGTAGTAAATACTAATTTTGATTTATGATCCAAGGGAAGGATGGCCAACACACCACAAAGAGAGCATTCATATATAGGAGCAAAATTCCGCCCGTCCTTGTCCTACCAGATGTTAGGAATTGTGGGAGTTGGAGTCCAAAACACCTGGAGGAAGAGCCGAAGTTGGTCCATAGGATTCCATAGGATTCTCTTCTCTTTCTCGCAGCCTTCGGTTGTGGTGTCCCGACCTACAAACCCAACGTGTCCAGAGTCGTTGGAGGGGACAATGCCCGGCAAAACAGCTGGCCCTGGCAGGTAAATCGGGCATTCGCCGGAGACCACGACCCAATAATCCCGAGAATGTGGAAAATATTGATGAGTTGCAAAAATCGGGGAATTAAAATTGCAGTTCTTTGACGAAACGGCGCGATGGTGCAATAAATACGAAATTGCGAATTTTCCGAGATGTACCTTTTCTGTCCTTCCAGGTGTCTCTCCAGTATTCCTCCAGCGGGTCATGGCGGCACACCTGCGGAGGGACGCTCATTGCCAACAACTGGGTCATGACGGCGGCCCATTGCATCAGGTAACGAGGATTAATTAATTAATTTATCACTAGCCGTCCCCTGTCACACGTTGCTGTGGCCCACATGGCTGTTCTGTGTGCCAAGTTTGGTTCAATTCCATCACTGGTGGAGTTCAGAATGCTCTTTGATTGTAGGCGAACTATAAATCCCAGCAACTACAACTCCCGAATGTCAAGAGTCTATTTCCCCCCAACTCCACCAGTGTTCGTGAAATGGTAGGGAGAAGGTTTGAGGAACAGAGGGTTTAATCTATGCTGATGACTTCGCCATCACCGCTCAAGGAAATCTTCTACAAAACAGGAGCTTTTTTGTTGAGTTCCAGGGCCAGATATTTGTTGTTGGATGAATTATACAATGATAATAATGAGGATAATAATAATAATAATAATAATGACAAAAATAATGATGATTATAATAATAATAATGCTGAATGATCTCTGACTTTTTCTCCAGTTCATCCCGCACCTATCGGGTTTACCTTGGGAAATACAACCTCGCAGCCAGCGAGTCCGGATCGGTGGCCATTTCCCCCGAAAAAATCATTGTTCACTCCAAGTGGGACTCCAGCAGCGTTTCCAAAGGGTAAGCGATGAGATATAGATATATAATATATATATCCTAGTAGAAGGATAGATTGATTGATTGA